ATATATGGCCTTCCCTTCTTCACAAAGTATTTAACTTTTGAACTGTAGATTTCTTCTTTGCTGTAGAAGGAAACACAAGCACGAACACGAAGCCATAGACATTGATTAATACGCACAATAAACTACGGTGATAAACAACCATACGAGCACGGTACAACTGAATAACCAAATCAAACAAAATTAGACCGGTACCTTCCTTTAGCATCAGCCTTAACTGTATTGAGATTGCCTTGCCAATTTGACGCCAATATAGTCTGCAATAATAAAACGATCACTCAGATACCCATTTGATATGTGTGGTATATAGTTAAATAGTGATCTATACCTTGCATTTTTCGGCGAACGTTAATACAGTAGTTCTGCTCCCTTTCATCATATGTAAAAAGGAGTGACGCACACCAACTGTTTGTTGTAATTACACAGAGAAAGTAAGTAAATGAGCATGCACCGAGGTTGCCCCGGATACCGAACCGAGGTTCAGCGAACAAAGCTTGGTTTGGGTTTTGCCGTTTGCGTGCGTGTTGACCAGAATGGAGGGGTCGAGGGTTTTGCAACAAGCCAGCGGCAAGGCGTCGACGGGTCACAAAACCCTTTTATCCGTGCTTACGATATGCAATAAACTTTGATTTCAAGATACTTCATATATGTGCTCTATAAAATATATTTTATCTTTAGGATAATTTTGGAAAGCCTAAAATAAAATCATATTCATAGAATGATTTTATATAATTTAGTCATGCAATGAAAAGATTGTGTTATATCAACTTTTGTAATTATCATCTATATATGTGCAATTCATCTGTATTTTCAAAAGTTGTCCTCACTACAACATTTATTAATGTTTTGTTTTATTTTATTTTTTTGCTTCAGTCGATGTTATAATACGTTTTTATGTGGTTTTAAGAGAAACGATAATGTTTTTACTTTTTGATAAAATATAAATATGAAAATATCATAAAATTTTGAAAAAAAAATATATTGATATTAGTATCAAACTAACTGTATAAAATTTCTCATTTTTTGTGTAATTTCTTTAATTCGTTTTCTTATTATAATTTGATTTAGATTTGATAACAAAATTATTTATTTTTAGTTCAATAGAATAATTTTTTATAAAAAAAATAATTAAGTATTTTGTTAGAACTCAATGATTATTCTAATTATATTTTAGATTTTTTATATTTAAAATGAGATGTTTATTCTTTATTTGATTATATTTATCTGCAATTAGGTTACACGAATTCAAACCTTGAGTTTTAATAAGTCGTACTTACGTACAATTTACGTGTAATCTTGAATTTTAAGTAAATAAACAGTACTTTATGTATAAAAATGATTTTTAAGAGTTTTTGTAAATGTTTTATAATATAGTATAGATTATATACGTTCTAATTATTTTATAATTAACATATACATAATATATAATTCTTTATTTTAATTTAATGATAATTAAAATATAAATATAATTTCAAATAAACGATTAATTTCGAAACAATTAAATTATTCAAAACACAAAATTTATTAAATTAAAAAAATTACATATACACAAAAACAAAATATTACATTAAATCATAAAATGTAATTTTAGGTAAAATGTTTAAATTAAATTAATTATTCTTGTTTAAAAAAATATTTGATGTATTTAAACAATTTAGTTTATTCAAACAATTTAAAAAAAAAAGGGGAAGCGGACATGGCTTTACAAAGACAATTGCAATATTTGCAACTAAATCCTATGTGACATAGGAATATTTTTGCAACTGTTTTTGAAATTCAGTTTGAAAGTCATGTGTGGATAGTCTTAAATTGTTATTAAAAATTTCAGTTGTTTAAACAAATTCAATTAAAACTACGATCTGCTTGAAAATAACAAGATTTATTCAGTATTTGTTTAATAATTTAATACTTAAAATGTTTGTTAATACAAGAAAATTGAGAAATTATATGAATTGTTAACAGACAATCAAGTTAATTTGGATTAAATCCTATCATGAAATAACTGTACATTTTGACCATCTAAAATGGAGAACATCGTGAAACAAGCTTCAAGGCCCAAAGGAAGGGCACAAAGATCTTGTTGCACAAGAATCAGATCTTATACAAACAGATCCTTACTTATAATAATTGACGAAAGATAAGTTGGCAGGACCAACTACTGCCTTAATAGGAACGAATTTTTTTTTTCCAGTTTTCAGTCGTATAATTATTACATCAACCTAAAAAAAATACTATAATAACTTAAAACTTCATATAATCGAAAAGAAACAAAAGGAATGGGTTAATTAGATTATATCAAATAAAGATACAATGTTGATGAATTTATAATTTTAGGGATCACTTACTAAACAATTACCTTGATAAACACTTTTGGGTTACCAGACCAGATGAACATAACAAGAATCAAGAATACTACTCCGTAAGAGGGAAATCAATAATCAAAAGTCTTGACTAGTAACTGAATGTGATAATTCTTTCGTGGTAAGTGTTTGTCATGCATAAATACTTACTTTTAATCGTTGGAAATGTTACCTCATAAAGTAAGTGACAGCGATAAATCTGTCGGTAGACATTTATTTAATGAGTGTTTGGTAAAATGTCTTTCATTCACATTTCTAAAAAACAACAACAACTTGTTTTTATTTTCTTTTTATTTTGACAATTGGGTTTTAAAAATTGGTATTAGAACGATTTAATTTTTTAGAAGTCGTAACAGAAACAATTCAATTTCGTTAGTTTCAAGTTTTTCTATGATATTTATTTTTAGCTACCTAAGGGGTGTTTGATTAGAGATATTAAACAGTAATTAATGAGAATAAAATTTTTTTGTTAGATTTTCTATAATAAAATGAGTTCATTCCTTCAGAATCCCAAAATTCAATTCCTGATTAAACCGGGAGACATTTTCATTCCTATCATCCTAAAAATTGATTGGATAAAAAATAAAATACAACATTAATTATAACGTTTATGTAGGATATCAAACGTCGTTCAGAATGAACTTCGGTGTTCATTCTGCCAAACTACAATAATAGTATATCACTTTGGCTGGGACCGACACCGGTTTCAGGCAAACGCAATAATCGTCGGTTCCAAGAAGCTTGCAGTAATGTCTGATGATGGTGATTTACCTTGGAGGTATTCTGCAGATCAAGGATTAGAGGATCAATTGTTCGATAGAGATCGACACATAAGGTACCTCGAGATGAATTACCACCTATTGCCATCTCCGTACGAGGGTCAAGAGATCATCCGTCTTACTCTCGCCTACTTCACCATATCCGGCCTCCACATCCTTGATGCACTAGATCGTGTGAGCCCTCGCCACTTATTTTCTTGAATTTAGTATTGAGCACGAATCAATCTCGAACACAAGATAAAAATCGCTTAACTTAACGAGTTAAACTCCGTAGCATAAATGTTCGACTAGACTCGTTCAAAAACTTGAATAAACTTTATGATTGAATCAAGATGAATGGAGACCTGATGTTTAAGTTTGGCTACATATTAAGCTTGGGCCGTTTACCAAACACTTATTTGTTAAGTGCTTACCGGTATAATTCAACACCATCACTTAATTAACGGGTAAGATTTTACTCCACAAAGACGGTATCGTATGTAACAATTTATCCGGTAAGCGCTAACCATGATAAAAGTCGTCGTCCTTGCTTACCGGGTAAAACTCTTGGTCTTTGCCTCGTCCATACTCGGTAAGGTTCTTCGTCAGTACTATATTTTTCGAGTATGGTTATTTGACTAAGTAAGCTTTCACCTAAGTAAACAACCCCTAACTCTATTAAATTTATTTGAGAATGATTAAGGCGATGAGTTAGAAGGTATGGCACACACAATTCCAAATCTTACCGTATCATCTTAGATCCATAGATGGGACCCTTTTATGGGATCCTACGAGCAACTTTTCCAAATCTAAGCTCTTGGAAATTTCCGTAAGTGTTGTAACACTCAAATTTTTATTATTTATAAATTTAATTTGGGATTATTTTATTTTTTAAGGAATAGAAATAATTTAGGAGATTTGTAACTTTGGTGAGTATTAATGGAGATATTGTAAATTTTATAAATTTTGGTAGTGGAGTAATTTATGTATGGAAGTAGTTTGAATTTGGACTGGAGAGGTGCCTGTCATGTCAAGTGACGAAAGGTTAGTAAGGAAGGGATTCTGAAGCATCAATGGTGACTGTCAATTTGCCATCCATTCCGGCTTAAACCCTAAACCCTCAAGAATTCCGAGGAGGTAGACCAATCCTCTTTAAGGGTTTTGTATTGCCGACAATTGGAGAGAAACACGCTTTGAAAATTCAGAGAATGGTGCAACGAGGAAAGATATCTGGGCGCTCGAAGTTACGTCTCGTTATGTATCCCTTTCAAAATTTGAATGTAAGTTTACCAGGACATTAGGGTTCACAAAATATACGCCCAGATCAGTTTTGGAGTCAAATGGACAGCCAAAAGGCTTGAATTATCATTTTCGGTAAAGAACCAAAAAAATTTGATGATTTTGAGTGATTCTTGATTTTATATGTTAGAAAATTGGATAACTTAAAATTAGGAAAAAGAATCGTCGAAAACGGGCAAAAAACGAAGCCAAACGGCTCGAAACAGGAAGCCGCCAGAGAGGGAAAAAAAAAAAAAACGACGTTCGAATCCCTCCGCCTCCAGCGACCCTCCGGCCATGGCCAAGTACAAGTGTGGGTCTGACTTGTAGAGTAGACCTGATTTTGACCCCATCAGATTTGGAAATTGGACTTTTATATTTATTGAAAATTAAATTAATCACAAGCCCACCAATAATTCTTTTTAGATAATCAAATTAGTAATTAATTGGGTTATAAACATCACATTTTAAATATAAAAAATTTAAAATATAATTAGGATAATCATTAAGTTTTAACAGAATATTTAATTATTATCTTTATAAAATGTTATA